TCACGCCAGGAGATATCAATCCAGGCAAAGGGAGAGAAGAGGACTCATCAGCGTCACCATGTGCGGATAGCTCGTAGAGTGTTGTACTCTGTAATTCTCGTCGATTCGTTACCCCGGCCCAGCGTCCGTCAACCGAAGCTCCCAAAAACATTTTCCTCCCTTGCCCGCTGGGTTTCCTTAGTTGGAGCATCAAACGACATCGCAAACCCCTCGTGGAATTCAGCAAATACCGGAGACGGTCATCTGGACCCTAATCCTACGCCTATACTCTCGCCATGGCTGCCAATTGCATTTCCCTGAAGGATTCGAAGGCCTGTCCCGCCTTCTCCAATGCGGCTGTCTCAATGAGCCCGGAAAACATTGCCAAATTGTATGTTTTATTCCTCATTGATAGGTCCCGCATGTCGTGGTTTATTTTATGCTGATCAGACTGAAATTTGAAGTTCTTTTCTCTCGTTCGTTTCCAATACCCAAGAGTTCGATGAGCGCCTGTACTCATATGCGAACAGCGAATATGTGAAGATGAAGTATGTTTTTAATTGGAATCAAATCTCGTCAATCCGTTGAAGTGATCTATATTTTGCTAATGATACTACTTTCCTCTGCTTCTCTCCAACAACAGATACCAGCAGGTACTTGGCTGTACTAATGTCAACCTTAGCAATACCTCTTCACTCTATGCCAGATATACACTCAGCGTAATTTGTAATGGAATTGTTCAAAGTTCAGCAGCATGTGGAAGCTCACCTCCTCTATGTGCAGAGTCTTGTGTTAGTCCCCAATATCCGCATTATATCTTCGACTTGATAGAAATATATTGATATATTTGCGACAGGCACAATACGCTACCAGTGAACAACTAATTGCTGTCAATCCCGAGCTTTGCGGCACTCCGAGAAATGATTATATGAATGAGATCAGAGCTGATTTTACAGTTTGTTCGAACCCGAAGGATGCGCTCACTGATACTTGCATCGCTGGTGACCAAAATGAGCCAACTGAGTGCGGTTTTGCCCAAAACCTGTTAGGCCTCTGTAGCTTTTGCCAAGGAAGCACAGCCAACTCGACAGACTCTTGCTGCATCGGCGCAGATGTCACAGATCGGTGCAAAGGACTCACTCTTCCGTCTGTCGGGCCGCTTCCTCCTCTTTTTCCTTCTCCGACATCTTCACCACATCCGTCGGATGCAGCAGTTGCATCAAACAGTGCACTTTCTAGTGGTCAAATTGCCGGAGTTGTTGTGGGGTCTGTTGTCGGACTAGCTATGTTCGCTGCAATTGGAGCTCTCCTCTTTATATGTTTGAGACGGAGGCGCGAGCAGACAAAGGCGCCGTCGCTAAACCAGCCGTCACCACAGCGAAATAATAAGACACCAATGCAATATGTCCCTGGGAGTCGGAATGGTGCATATGAGGTCCTCCCAGGCAGCCGTGTAGCCAGAATGTCAGCTTTGCAGGCAAGCAGCCATGACGAATCTCCACCCCGTGCTGCTGGCGGAATCGCAGCAGTATCTCCGGGTCAAACCAAATATCACGATTCTTCCGATTCCGACGCATTCGGGGAGAGTCCAGCACGGTCTAAGCGTGGACCACCCGTTACGGGCAAGAGAAATGGGTCTCTTTCAAGTGCTTCTGTGTTGGCAGGGAACAGTGACACAGCCTCACCAAGGTCTGGGAGTGGTGGCCATTATTCCTCACCCGAAGGGATGGCTAGTGGCCAATCTGAGCAGCTTCCCTACTTCAGAGACTACTACTCGCAGGATGATATCCACCCAAATGATAAGGTTGCTGTTCTATGGGCATATCAGCCTCGTGCAGGTGATGAATTTGAGCTGGACAGGGGCGACATGCTGAAGGTAGTGGGAATATGGGATGATGGATGGGCAACTGGGGTTAGACTAAACGAAAGGGCCGAGGATTACGAAATAAACCGCAACCCACAGCGTGATAGCGGTGTTTCTAACGGCTCAGCCAGAAGAGGATCGTCTCCTCCACCGTCAGGCGAAATCAAAGCATTCCCGGTATGTCTCATCTGTAACATACGCTTTTTTTTTTATTAAAGTACAATACTGACCTATTACCCAGATTGTGTGTGTTTGCCTACCTGAGCATTGGAGGAAAACTATCGATGGCGATGTCTCAGCCGAGACTCACGACGATTCTTAACCCTTACCGCTGCCATATTTCATAGCGACACCGCCCTATTTCACGGTCCTCATTGATGTCTTGACGATTGCGCCTTGTTTCATTTCTCTTCCCCCGTTTCGCTTTCTTTGTTTCTGGCGTTTATTCAGAAGGCGGTTGAATATTGGTTCTCCAGCTGTTAATCCGTTGCGCGAATTGCGTCTACATCGCCAATTATACTCATCGTTCCTACGCGACTCTATTACATCTTAACCTACCCGACGAAATAAAAGCCTCACGCTGCTGCGCTGGCCTCCGTGCCCCCGCGCCCTATTCCCTCCTTCATGATTTACCACTACACATCTTTGTTTATATATGTCCCCCAAGACGCTATATCGCCAGGCTGCAGGGCTCTTATCTTCTCCCTCTTTTATTTTCAACCACCAGATCTTACTGATCTGACTTATCTTGTTTCAGTGCTTCCCCGTATATTTTCTCCAACTACTCTTTCTATCGTTCGAACACAGGAGCACAATATACCTCTTTCCCAGTTTTCACCTCCCCTTCGCGCAGGGTTTGCCCTTTATACTATGGCAGTAAGTCATGAGGTGGTAGGTATACGTGTGTGAGTCGAGATGTGTACTCTATTACTTTGATAATCCCCAGCTTGCCTACCGTTCCACCTTTTCCTTTCATTTTGAGGAAACTTTGCCCAAATTGGGATGAGCATCCTCCTCCCCAATCCTTTTTTTCTTAGTTTTCCTTTTCTTTGTTCCATTTCAAATCTTTCTAGCTTTACTTAGAACAGATGTAGTTTATACCCCCTGAATTTTATCGAGTTGACAGGCATAAAAAGATAAGAAAAAGAGATTTCTTCTATCCCCCTTCCTTCCTGCCCATTTAGTTCCCGTTTATTTCTTCATTCGCACAATTCTTTCTCAATATCTAGTGATAGATTTATTTCACTTGAGAACTTCTCCACCTACCTACCTACCCACATTCTCTTCTCCCTGCTCCTTTTTTCCTCGTTATTTCTGTCGTTCTCCTTTTATTCACTAAGTGGGACTGGGAAAGAAGCCATTTTATCGTTGCGGCTGGAACGGTTAATTTGGAAATTTTAAATAGTACTTGTTACCAACAACACATTTATGAGAGTGAGACTCAGTAAACGACACGTTGGATTAATGGAAGGGGGCACGGTTTAGACGGAAGAGACTTTGTTTTCTTGAGCCGGCCCTTCCCTGGATGAAAGTGAAGGGTGGGGTTGGCTGTGGGATTGATTCGATTGAATTGATTCGATTTAATCGCAATGCATGTATGTATGTATTGCAAGGTTGAATTGTGGATAAGTTCGGAATTCACTTGAGTAGATAGATGGATGAGTAAAAGTGATAGGCGGTAAGGTTGCTGCTCATTTGTCTTTGATATTTCATTTCTCCCATGTTTTATTTTATATATTTATTTATATACACATATATATAATATCTTTACAGCCACCTTCCATATATATATATATATATATATATATATAAGCCTCTCTCCCCTCCCTTCCCCTTCCTCCCACTTTCGATTTCGTTTTCTAAGAAATACTTTGCACGTCTCCTGAAGACATTCTCTCCGGTATAGCGCGTCGTAACTATGCCCTTTCCCGCTTGAGCATATTCATTCCAGTAAAGAGTCGTCCACCAGGAACTTGCCAGGGTCTGTCGTTCTAGTCGTCTCATTCCCTATCCATGACGGAGGGGATGTGTTGGCAGAGAGGGATGGATGGATGGATGGATGGATGGCTCCAATGTCTCGATTTTGCCCGGTCAATAATGGCTTGGGCTGGAGGTAAAAGTAGGAAACAGCTCCGAAATCTCCCTCGATGGCGGTATTGTACCTCTTGTTGTCAGCGGAAAGCCATCCGTGTGGAATTTTCTCTCCAGGGAATAGTAGTGGCCCTCGACTTAAATCTCAAGTTAAGACGAGAGGGGAGAGTGGGGAGAGTGGGGAGGGGGGGGGGGGGTTGGTTGTTTAAAGGGCGGATTTTATCCCTGCCCCAAGACGGTAAATTGAGAAAGATCTGGTTTTTCCTCTTGGGAATTTGTTTTGAAGATATAGGTTTGTGTTCAAGGAGAGAGATGTGGCAGGTCCAGTAACCATGCCAGGTTATTTCATATGCAGGCGTTAGATTGCGTCAATGCAAATCACTCACTAGATGGACACCCCGGTTACAACAAGCAAAAGAGAAGAAGAGAGAAAAAATGAAAAGAAAAGAGAGAGGCTGATTACTGCTGCCAGTCGCCAGACTTATAAATTCTCGAACATATTAAATATATAAAAGATAGTTGCTCACGGCCATAATGCTTCAACCCGAGCATTGTACACACTGCCGCGCTTTCGAGAAGAGAAGCCCCATCTAGTATATATGGTAACCATGTCCTTCAAGCCGTCGCCTTCTACTATCTCATGCCCTCGCATATCGTGGTTCCGGTTGAGCGCCATGATTCGTGCGGTGCGATATCAGTCCAACCCTCTCTCGTACCCTCAGCTGTGCGGAGCCATGACATGGGCAAAACCATCTAACGGAAACAGAGCCCTGCTGATTCCTCGCCATAAGATCCGCCAGCATCGGTACGTCACCGCCGATTGCGATAGCAGGAACAATGGCATGAGCCAGAGATGTAAATAGATACTGGTAACATGTGAAGAGTCATTCCGCTAATTTACATTCAATTCCCTGCAAGCAAAGTCAATCGACCGAGATAACGAATTGAGTTCAAAAGGAACCCTTTTTGGCCATTTAAAAACAATGATTCGATAAACTTGAACCGTCTCGGACTCGATTCGATAAACACTGAAGTTATGGTGTTTGGCGGCCCCCCTCTTTTTTTTTTTTCTTTTCTTTTTTTGGCCTGGTACCAAGATTAACAAGCGCCTGAGCAATCGGTCTGGAGAGCGCAGACAGAGAACTTAATCTCAAACGCAATTGCCTATGAAGCTGATAAAAGCACCAAGTAAATTTTGCTGTTGGCCCTCTTTGTAGCTCTATCCTAGCTCGAAGGATTTCCATCCCCTGTGACACGCAAAAGATGTAGCTGACGATATTGCTGTAGAGCTTGGAAACATGGCCGCATGGAATCGTTCTTCGGCCTTGACAGCTACGAGGGGGCTCGTCACCGGTGTGGGTGTGGTGTGACTGGCGCAGACACTGCAATCAGAGGCCAGGAGAACAATGGACACTGTAGCTCGCGAGACCAAGGTAAAGCTAGAACCCCAGCAAAAAAGACACACAGTTCGCCTGGTTTTTCCGTGGCTCCACAGCAACGATGTATACTTGATTGAAGAATGGAGGAAAGAAAACGTAGCGGGGTCATCTGCAGGCGGGGTGTGTCCCATAGCTCAACAGCTGAGGGAATGACTACTTGAGTAGTTCGAACACGATAGATTGTTAGCTGTGCTTGACATGTTTGCATCAGTTACGGGGGCCAGAGAAAAATATTGTAACTCTCCAAGAGCTATATCGATTATCTCCTTTATTTTAAGATTTGATTGAATGCCATCATATGCATCTCAGCTTCAATAGCAGAGATCAAATAGGCCATCCAGTGGATATAGAATTCATCAATTAACAAAGAAAAAAATACAGATGGACCATGTTTCTTGAAAGTCATCAAAGCAGGTGTCTATGTAGGTGGGGCCATCGATCAGGAAACCGAAAAAAGGCTCATCAAGATCGGTTTGGGGTTTAAAAAAAATAAAACCATTCATTATCAGAGTGAAGGTACATATAATAGTCTCTCTGGACAAATATTTCGAAATCACTGCGCAGAAAAGCAATTTAGCTGACCCCATAGTTTAAGCATGGGTTTTAAGATGAGAGCCATCAGGGAAATTGAAAATTTCAGAGAAATCCCCATGTAACAACGGCTCAATCAATGGAAGCCAGCTCGTTAGTTGCGTTGACTTTGTCAGAAACCAACCCTGCACAGCTCCTGCTACATAGTAAACGATGGATGGCCAACAGGCAGTGTTCGTTTACGCTGTATGCTAGGCGTTTCTATCCAAGGAGGGGATACGGCGACATAGTCCGTAGGCAAAAAGGGGTATATAATAGCGGTAACCCGAGGGAAGACGGGGGAGAGGCCGATATCGCGGAAGGCTCTCCCTCCTCCATCCCTAACTATAGGATACCCATTCGGCGAACAAGAACTATCCTGCAAACAAACGGCGGCGGGAGGTCGATGTGTTTATCCAGTGATCATAGCCAAACCCAACGAAATTTCCCCGCTGTGTGAGGGCGACTGCAGCCACCTGCGGGGAGGATGTTGCCACTTGTCAAACACTGCATCACGACGATGCGCGGATGAACAGGGAAAAGCCATCTGTATAGACAATGTATGCGTACAGAACAATGATGGCTGGTCGAATGGCTAGGAACGTTCCGCGATGTAACTCTTGGGTTTTTGAATGCCAATGCCCAAACTGAGGTGGGGTGGTTGCGCTGAGCGATGTGAAGCCATGACATATAAGTTAGTTTCTGCGTACACTGTCGACGGTGGACACTCGAATGTCTCCACGCCACAGACGTTACGCCAGGTTATCTTGAATCCGCGTCCACTGTGCAAAAAGCTGCTGCGAGAAATCGCCCCGCGAGGTCTGTGCGCCCCAGGACCCGGGATGAGCGGGATATGGACGGGACGAGTCGAATGGCGGCTTTGTCGCTGCAGAAATGTGGGGATGAGCGAAGATGGCGAATCCCAGCTACAAGGGATATTGATGTTGAAGATGAGGGTTACATGCACTTGCATTCCCTGCATTTACCCGCCCTGGAGAAAAGATGCCAGGGACAAAGACAAGAAAAAATATCTCCATGGCGCGATGAAATCTCTCCGCGAGGCCGATAGAAAGAAACATCCGTTCGCCGCGGGAGCTTGCCGATGAGCCAGAGAATTTCTCCCCGTGGTCCCCTTGATGCATTTTCCGCGGCGGAAACGAACGTGTTTCAAAGCTTCTCGATGTTCGGGGCCCTTGAATGTTCAAGGCTTCCGAATGATTCGCTCTGAATACGAGTTTGCTCCAAAGAGGCGCCATCCTCTCTGGAGAAGAACATAACAGGAAGGAGGTTGAATCTAGTTGCAAACCGGTGTACTATATGCTGCTGCTACGCGACCTTCTCACACCAAAAAGAACGCTTACGCTTGCCAGACGAGGAAGATAGGGGTTAGCGACCGCGGTAAGCGTTAAGGGCCACTCGGGCGTGCCCCTGTCGCCTAAGATTCAATTACAGGTAGCGGAGCAGGTGTCATGTCATAAGGGGGAGGGAGGAATAACATATTCCATGGTTGACAAAAACGAGAGAATGGCCGGAGGAATTTCAGTATTTTCATCAACATTGATCCAACAACATCCAATTGTATCCAACGTCCATCCATCTTCCCAGCATAAATGTTCTGGACAAGACAGACACACACCATCCCGAAAGCGCCTAAGCCAACCGAGCGACTCCACTCGGACAAACCCCCCCACCCCCATCGTCTAGGAGAATAGAAATTTGGCGACATTTTGTCGACAAATTCTGCGCGATACCTTCCCGGCATCTGGAAGACACCGGGCACCGCAGCGAAACACAGCATGCAAGCACTCTGCAAGATGATGATGATTTTTAAACTTTGGTGAACTAAGTTAAGTTACCCTGTCTGTCATTTGGTTGTGCAAGTGGTTATCCGCGGTATGCTGAGGATCCCGAGGTTATTACACCCAGGAGGAGGTCGCACAGAATTCTGGAGTACGACATCGTGCAAGAGCCGACGGGGCGTGAAAGAAACAGGCGAGAAGAAGGGCGAAGCCGCGGAAGAGAGAGCGAGGATGCGGGGATTTGACCGATTTCAAAAACAAAAATAAAAACAAAGAGTGAAAAATGAAAATGAAAATGAAAATGAAAATGAAAATGAAATCTACTAAAAACTAACCATCAAAAGTACTGTCCCAGCTAGCCAGGGAGGCTAGCTGGGGGAGGACGACCGGCAAGTTACTGCGAACACACCGTGACACACGACAACGCCCGTCTTGAAGAAACCGCCCACGTTACATACGCAGGGCTTCCAAGGCTTCCAAGGCTTCCGGGCCTTGGAAACAGAACGAAAATGCCACCCACATCCCGATTCCCGAGCCTAAAGCCGAACCAAGCCGAGCCGAGTGGGGAGGGATGCTGCTCAACCCTCCACATGTGCTTTGGAAATAGTAACTCGTGGTTAATTGTATTTCTTTCTTTCTTTTTTTTTTTTTTTCTTTGTTTTTTTTATTCCCAAATGTAGTGATAAGGGGAACTTTATTAAATT